GTCAACATGCTCCAGGGCCTCTAATACCAAGGTTCGGATTTCGCCTACACCTCCTATTGGCTTCTAAATTACAGGATTGCCTTTGGGCTGCGGGAGAAGGTACAGTAGTGGGTTTCCAGGGATGAGCAAAGTAGAGCAGAAGTCCTGTGGGAGGGGGTGGCGATACAAGGATAAATAAATTATATTGAAGGTCCCCACGGATAGTGGCTAAGTTGGGTTTAGTAGGCGAGAAGTCCATGTTTTTCACCCACAACGTGGTGTAGAAACCAGCTACACCACTATACCCGATTATTATATTGGGGTCACCTCGTCGCATCACTTCTCATGCGCCAAAATGTAGATTTTCCGATCAAAACCCTCCCTGAATTTTCCCCCAAATCTCCTTCGGCGAAGTACTCGTTTCTGAGGGAAATGGTTTCCCATACTAGTATGGTACTCTCACTTGCGTGTTGAGCCACACTCTATGAGTACTCCAGCATACTAGTCAATTCATGAAGTATGCGGACACCTTGGCACAGTGGCCGCCTGTCTTGGTGCCAAGCATCCGGATATTTTATGCATCCACTAGTACTCGAGTACGGTACCAATTTCCAGTCAAACCAAAATGTGTGGTCCCACCCTTCTGCCATCCACCCCCCATCTCTCCCTCCTTCCTCACCCTCCGGTTCTTTCCCCCTATAACTCAATTCTGATTATGAGCTCAATCTTTGCTTCTTTTTTTTCCACCTAATAACACGGGTCATCTCTATTTTCTATCCAAGATATTAGTTACACAATGAGCACATTGTGTAATAGTGACTACTCCGATTGCTACCGGTGGAGACCTGTTAGCATTGAGCTTAAAAATGGCAGTTCTGTCCAAGGCTCAACTGTCTCATACTATGAAGGTCAGCGGAGAAGCGGTCACACAGCCACAATTCGATCACCGAAAAGAAGACTTTGACCGAAAACGCCAACACCTCCGGTACGATAACACCTAAGCCCCACCCGACTGCTCCCAAACCTTCCTGCGACCCCGACAAAAGCTCCACCAACTTCATCCAACCTCCTGCAGCTCTATTCTTGAACGGAAAACATCTTTTTCCCGACTCCGAGATCATGTCAACCGATTTCAAAGAGGTTCCAATGGGTATGTCAGATCTTCGGTTGGAAATGGGGTTGCTATTGGAGGAGCGAAATCATGGAGCGCTCAGATCCGGGAAGATTGCAAATCACCTGGTTGCAAACTGGATTAATGAAAACCACGAAATACTGGAGAATGATGACATACGATTCGAATACAATTATCTGAGCCAAACAGTTCAAATCCAAACTATGGCACTCCCGATTCACGAATCTCTACACATATATTTTGGCCGCGAAGTGATCCTCGCACTAGCCGAAAAGTTTGGTAGACGACGGGCGGGATATATGGTTACCGTTGCCGGTTCTGGGACCAGTATGAGGCCCCGTATATCCTTCTTTAATTCATTTTAACTAACATTTTCTAGCCTTCTCTGGTTTTACGGGAGACGGATTGGGCACCTCGCGAAAGATTCCAGATTGCTACATTCAACTACGAGGAGGAAGATTCCCAACGGTTGTATGCGAGGTGGGTTGGGCGGAGTCGTTTGAAGACCTAGTGCAAGATGCTCGCCTATGGCTTCTTCATACAAATGGAGAAACCAAGATTGTAATCGTACTTGCTTTTGCTGAAGAGAAGCCGAAAACAGAAGTCGTATCTGGCCGTCTGCATCCCGAGCCTATCACCCCCACAACAGCCAACGATGATGGGGCGACCCTCTCCTCCACTAGTAACTATCAGGAAATATCTTACACAACAACCAGCAACCATGAAGCGAGCGTTCCCCAAATCACGGGCGACGAAGCGACTACTCCTCCCACCACTGGTAATGAAGCGACCACCCCCCCAACTACTGGCAATGGCTCTGAGGAAAGCCTCATTAAGAGCATTGATGGGGGAACGGACCTCAATGATTTAGCGGAACAGCTTTTCGCCTTAAACGAACAAGGGAAGCTCCAACACCCGTTACTTGCAAAAGTACATGCAAGCCTACATATTTTCAAGGCATCCAAAGAAGGCGATGACATTGTGGAATCGTTTTTCCGCAAACTTGTTACCAAAACAACCAGCAGACAGTGCGGCACCCAAGGAGTTTGGAATAACCCTTCATGATATGTTGGGAAAATTGGTCCCTGCCGGACATGATCCAGAACAAGAGATTACATTCCCGTTAGGCGATCTAAAGGAAGTTATCGAAGACTCTATTCCACGAACTACCCGGCTCAGGGCTAGCGATCGGGCGATCAAGCTGTTAAAGGACACTGTTGGATTGGATGAGGAGCCTACATTTGTCCAAAGAAAACGGCGGCGGCTAGACCCCTTTGGTCTTTGAAAGTAGTTGTTCTCCACTCCTATTCTCTTGTAATAGATCTTTTTCATAGCAATAAACATGATCAGACCAATGAAAGTACTGGTCAGAAATAACTCAGACCATGGTCTTATTCTTCCCTTGTACGAACAAATCCTCGACTATGCTCCTCTGATAAGGGTGATCATCCTCAAACAGGGGAAGTATCCCAAGCCTCACATGGGCCAACCTTGGCCATAATTTGTTAAGCCCGGCCAAAGCTGAGCCGGAACCGGGCATAACTCAAAGGGGCCCGGGTTGTAGCATGCTCCAACCCCATCGAGGCTTGGGGCGAGCCCCGGCTGGCTGGTTTGCCTTGTGTATCAACCAACTACACCACGGGACCAGAAATCTATCTTGGCCTTGGGCACGTTTCTTTCATATCAATCGGCTAGACGTACTATACGTAACTTAAGTTGTGCTAACGGAGGCTTTGCCAAAAGACTCTGCATGTGAGGCAAATGCGGCTCTGGACCAACCAAACCTCTAGAATTTGACTCTGTATGCGAAATTGCAAAGTCCCCAATCGCCGAAACAATCAGTCTATGTACCGTAACCGTCCCAATGTTCCTGCCGATTATGTAACTGCTCACAGTTGCAAATCTTGCAGCACGTCTACGACGGCTCTACGGCGCTTTCACGCTTAATCCAACCAAAGTCCCACCACGCGAAAATAAAAGTTGTAAAAGAGAGAGAGAAAAATGAAAGACATATTCGGAAAGGCTTAAAATGGTGTGTGAGGAAGTTAAAAGGACATTTAAAGCATCGCAGAATTTTTGGTCGTGGTTCCTAATTCTTAAATTCACATACTGTACAAATAAAATCTTCCTTGGAGCTGTTAGGCATGTCGTAGACGTGCCCAAGATTGTGGCTCCGCCACAACCTTGGCACGGTTACATTCAGGCAGACGGTATAACGGGAATACCCGGAAGCTAGATCAGGCTAGGGTTGAGGGTTGAGTGCTTATATAAGCCTTGATCCCCTGTTGCCGCCCAAAGCCTCTCTACAGGCACTCGTATGTTTGCTTTTCTCGGTTGCCTTCTTGCATCCGATCCACCAGATCCTCGACCGTAAATGCATGTCTTCCTTTCTCCCCCATCCCCAGTTAGAACGACATCATTGACAGACCAAGATAGCCAAACATGCCGTCTGCTGATCGTTCCGAATGGCGCAATACTTTCATTTACGCTTCCAACAATCGTGATACCGTGCTCGGAGGCCTCTGGGCCACCCCGGGTATTACAAACCGCAATCTCTATGCCATGCTAGATATTTTTTGTTTGTTTAGCAACCCTTTCGAGCTACACGACGAGGACGGACGGTTAGTTGAAATGGATGAGGCACAGCTTCAACCGGGCAATTACTATATTGTTACTCAGGGTGGCCTTCTTCTGTGCTTTCCATCTTTAGCCGCTACTCACTGTGAATAGGTGACGTTATTCTCACTGATGAGGCACCGCTACTTCGTACGATTTCGTTGCAGTCCGGAACCCGTGTTGCTGCGTTCCGTGATGAAGTACGTGCACGAGACGGACGCTGCCTTTTCACCGGCCACCGATCAGGCAGGTGGATAGGCTTGGAAGCCGCTCACATCTTTCCCCTGGCATACGAGGGGTACTGGAAAGATCATAACTACGGCCGTTGGATTACCGTTCCGCCGACAAATCCCTCCCACGGATCGATCAACTCTGTACAGAATGGGATCTTGCTCGATTCCAGTATGCACCACTATTTTGATTCCTATCATTTGACAATTAATCCCGATGTATGGATGGCTAGATCCTCAAGTCTTCGCAGCTAATAGTTGTGTAGGATAACTACAAGATCGTCTCCTTCGCAGAGGAATCCCTTCAATTTAACCTCCCTCACCAACTTGATCAGACGTTCCTCCAGAATCCACTCCGACCGGTCGATCAGCTTCTCCGCTGGCATTTTCGCCAGGCAGTGCTCACGAATATGAAGGGAGTTGGGGAGCCTTGTTTTGAGAACGATTTCCCGCCTGGCACGGACATGATGGGTGAGATCATGAGCGGTCCAAAGGCTGGAGAGAGGATGGAGTTTGAGCTGTTTAGCCGCTTTAACGCAGCGGGGGGTTCACACGTGGTGAAGTCTACCTAGAGCACTACTAGCACAATATTCAATAAAACTGGGTTTACCGGCGGTGTTCGCTCATAAATTCACGGGAAACCAAGCGGGCCCGGAGGTGTGATGTTAAACAAGACGAGCAACCAAAACACTTTGTTCCAAGTACTACCATGGGCGGACCCTCCTCGCAGCCCTCCTTCCAACAACCACACCAGACAACATCTTGCCTTCAAATGAAACGCCATGAGAATTACCATTACCGGAGAACGATACCTGCAGCCTCGTTCTACTTTGCTACCCTCGGTACGAGGCCCCACTATAGCCACGGTTATCGACCTTTCACCTCGGGAGTAAATCGGATAAAGAAGGACGTATCATGGTTTGAGGGCAAATGGGCCGAATGTTCGGCTGGAGGTGATAGAACGTGTCAAGGCAAATGTTCTACTATGAGAAGTGTATAAGGAAGCTGGTTCTTCTCTTTATTTTCCTAAGTCTTTGTCGTCTATGAGCAGATACTTCCGTCTTCCTTCGCTTCATCTCCTATCACTGTGTTCAGTCATTCGTTTCTTAAATCTCCGATCTTATTTCTATTGTCCTTCTTCATAAAAGCCGTCTATCGTTATATTTGTCCATACCAAATAAAAGCCCTGTGTGATTCGGTTACCAAGGATTAGATCCGCTGTGCCCCACTACCCTTTTAGTTGTTCAAAACGCTTGCACTCCGGTATGTCTTAAACCATCGGGGCTCTTGTTTTTACGGTGTCGTTACTTACGGAATTCCGGTGATCAGGGAAACCGCAGTGATGGCGATGCCAGTGAGCTGCCCGCACATGACCAGAACCTGGGTAGTTCTGAAACTCTCGTCTTGCCGGTCATCACTCACATTACCAACCCGCTTTGCGTTTGGTTGCGATCATGGTTGCGTCGAGAAAACCTATTCTATGGTTCAGGTCACGATAAATCTACACATCCGGCGATTGTTCAGCCTGCTCTGGAGCGGGAAGAGCTCACCGCCGAATCACGGGATGGTTGTGGCGGGACATCACACCCGTGCGTCGGTGATCTTCACAGCGAGTGAGTAGAGAAGCTGTTTCTGGAAGCGGGTAGGTCAACGCCGAATTACGTGATAATTATGGCGGGGCGCCAATCCCGCACACTGCCCCGCATGGTTCAATTAGATATATTTTATACTAACATCGCCGAAACGGCTTACAGCTAGTTATCTACCTATACCCCCGGATACCTATCCAATATCAAAACACTACCATGGTCTGAATACCGCCTCGCAAAACCTTCACTACGGTAGAAAACTACCTACCGGGAATGATCTATCCGGCAACCCCACAGGAAAATGGCGGCCAACACGCGCCATCACTGTCGCCGCCCCAAAACTCCGAGGACCCTTGCACAAGAGGAACCGGTAGGGGCAAATCCCGCCAGGTCCATCACTTCTTGGCCCTCTTCTTCGTCCTTCCCCGCGTCACAGGCCCGGAGGCAGGGACAGGAGATGCAACCCGAATCGCGGGAAGGTCCGGCGAGGGTTCACAGCCGTAGGGAGGCGGCGGCTCGGGGGCATCAACGACCGCAGAGGCCGGAGAAAAAAACAACACCCGAGAAGATTACCAATGCGGCTACAGGGCCGCAGGGAAAGTCGACCCGTTACAGATATCCGCCCGCCACCCGCCCAGTCCCATCTAGCGTTGTTACCTGGACGCCTACACTTTCTTTAGCATATGTTTAGTTTATACGAGTGCGGCCGATAAATATATTCGTCACGTGCCTTATCTAAGGACACATCGTAGCCAAAAGGTGCACCGAAATTTTCTTATCAGACACACGTGACGAATATATCTATCGGCCGCACTCGTACTGTAGCGTTATATGGTTGTTTGGAGACGGGGGTAGGATAACAATCTCATTTTGAAACCCATCTTGCACGGCCCCCATGTATGCATGTACCGGCCTGTGTGGATGAGGTCCGGATTGGTGATGAACCATTGGCGGGACGAGCAAGAAGCATTTCTGAAATTCAAAACGGGATGCGATATTGTTGACGAGGAGAAGCGGCTAGAGTCAATAGCAGGGTTTTATGTTCTTCCAACCTCTGAACTGACGTCTGTATTTTTATTTCCTGGTATCTGTTGCCAATAGTTTACTGCAGGGACCTGCAGTCAAATTGTCTCAACTAGAATCGTTCGTGATTGTATGAGGTGTTTCTGAGCGGCTCAGCCCCCACCCTGATTCGCTAAGTTGGGTTTAGTGGGTGAGAAGTCGCTGTTTTCCACCCTCGCCGTGGTATAAACCAACTACACCACGGAACCACGTGAAACCTTTAACCCTAACCCCAAATGATGCCTCCAATTTTGCTGTCCTCCCTTCGGTTTCCCCATCCGCCCCGAAGCAAGCCACGCAAGTGTTTCTTAGAATGACCCTATCCAGCCCTCTTCGCATCATGGCGGTGTCGGGCCTCCAGGGTGGTGGTCGCTTTCACTACTCGAGTAATATCAAATCCGCATGACATCACATGCAGGGATCTGCATCCCAGCGACCTTCTTCTGGATGACTGGCCTCTCCCCCTGGTTGCTCGCATGTCAGGGCTGGCACTGGGAGCTATTGACGCGCAGAGGGTGTCTGAGATTTCAGTGGGACTAGGGTGATGTCGATGAACATGCTGGTGCGGTGGTTGATTCCTCTGATGAAGGTGAGACTATCAGTGTCGAGGAAAGCGTTGGATCAAATTCTCCCGTGAGTGAGGAAGAGGAGAGAAGAGGGCGGGCCGCTGCGTTCAGAAATGGTCCGGCCCCAGCCGTAAAAGTAGCACCGCGAGAACGGAGGAGACAGTAGATGAAGGTTCAGGTATGATCAAATTGTGATTAGGATTCTTTGATTCTGGTCGGGGCTAAAGTAAGAGAAAGAAGGAATAAGGTGGAATAGACGGCAGGAAGGTGCCTATTGGTATGTGGAGGACAAGCACGAGTCTACCGGCTGCTGCGGAGGAAGAACGTATGTACTCGTGCCTACAATCTAGGGGTGGTTCTGACTTTTCTGATAGGGAAGGCTGAGTGTTAGGTATAGCATTCGCTCCCCCCTGCCCTCGATATTGATTACTCCGTCTGCTAGCATCCCTGGAGCAAATCGCCTATAAAGAATAGATGATCGGGTATGCGTCATTCCACAGATTTCGACATACCATCACATAACTCTACGCCAATGTCTTAGGATACAGAAGTGGACGCCCACGACCCGCATCGTGCTCAAAGAATGGAGATGCTCTTCTCTCCTATTACTTCTACACCGGAGACTCAACGCGTCGTTAGGACAATTCTGCGTGGGGAATGTGAGTCGATAGTAAAGGAGGCAGAGGAAGGTAATAAGCGGGTGCAAAAATATCTTGTTGCTACGGATTTGAGTGGGGAGGCCCAGCATGCTCCCCAGTGGACAATTGGAACAGTTCTGGGAGATGGCGATGCTCTGATGGCCATATGCGCCACCAATCAGGATATGGTGGAAGATGGCCGCATGATTTTTCCGGATGGCAAAATAGCGGGAGAATTGAGTAGCAATGCTGCCGCCATGGGGACCAGCCTTGGCTATGAACATGCCTCATACACTCGGAACACTGTCTCCAGTATCCAACATTGGTGATATTTCGGAGAGGAGCAGGGAGCGATCGGAGGCAGAGCGGAAGGAAGAGGTTCATTGCAGCAGAGGCAATCGTTAGGCTGGTGGGAAAGCTTTTGGGGGAGTCGAGGCTGCAGGTTGGGGTCGCTGTAGGGGAAATTCACTCCGGGAGTCCGAAGCGTCTTCTCACTGGAATCCTGGGTTTGTAATTCATTTCTCAATATATGGTTGTCTGGCCAATATGATTTAGATCGACTTTATCGACCCTACACTTATGGTCCTTGGTTCCCATGGTAGAAGTGCACTGGGGGGTGGGCAACCTGAATTCCGCTCTATTATTTTTACATCATAAACTAACTCATCACCTAGCGTCCTTCCGGGATCCTTCTCGAATTACTAGGTCACTGAATCCTCTATCCCTGTCATGGTTTCCCAGAAAAAACTCAAACATGCTAAAAGGATCGCGAAAACCAACGTCCGGCAGCCCCATAACCTCATGACAAGCACTCAGGCTGCCTCGCCGGTGCAAAGGTAGACTGATTACCATGCCAACTTGTCAGAGGGTAAGTGGTGGGATGTCCGAGCTTGGGAAAATGGAGTTTTCTCGATGGATTTTATTTTTTTCTCTTTCTCTTCCTTTTCTTCACGTCTGGTATCATCGTCATCATAATAGAGGATATCTAGTCACAGACTCTCACTCGTGTAAATAAATTATGCTATTAATTTTATTAATGACCGGTCTCACTCTCTCTTACTGTTCCTTCATCTGGCTAAAGGTTCCCCAGCCGTATAAATTGATGAGCAGCCGATTAGAGCCAATGAAATATATGGCGTTGTGAATGAAGAAGGAAAAAAGAAGAGAGTTAAAAGTGAGAAAAGAAATTTTTTTGGCCGGGCTCGAACAGGAGACCACCAGTGTGTTAGATTGACGTAATAACCAACTAGACTATAAAACCACATGATGGAAGGAGTATTAGCTATATTTTAGGATCTAATGGAATTTTTCTGCCTCTTCGGGTCAGTACAATCCCACGTTCCCTACCCATCCCTCCTTCCATACCACCCCTTCCACCAACTTTCTCACGCCGTACTTTTTCTCTCACACCATATCACTAGCCCGGAACGAGGAGTGATCAGAGAAAAAAAGTGGTTGGTGCAACAAGACTTTTGTTTCCGCACAGTATCTGCGACATGAATGATCACTCGCCTCGCCCCCTACGAGGGTCAATTGCATATTCGTGAAGCCCGACTTGGGCACTTAATGAGTTCTGCATCACACTACCACTCTATCGTATACTTAAACTATTGGTACCCTTCCACCTTCCCGTACCTTGCACACACCCAATCCTGCTTGTTTTCATCTCCTCATCACCAACCCCGCGCCCCGCTTGCATGCACCCCCTTCCCCCAACGACGCATGGTTCCCGCACTGATAACCCCAAATCCACCGCGCGGAGGATATCATAATAATAACATTATCAAAAAATCATAAGGGAAATGTTTAGCTGACCTGGCAAGATACATACGAGTAGGTTGTTGAGCCTCTAGGTGCGCTGTGCGGTGTGGAGCAGCTCTCTCGGGGAAGCTTGACTCACCTAGCGAGTTATGATACACTGGTAACTTTGCGGGAGAGGGAAGCGGGAGAAACAAAGAGGATAGCTGGAGACTGCGGTGTTTGTCGGGACTGTTGGGGGGTGGCGGTGGAAGTCTCTCTGGCGCTAACTGTCGTGTACATCTGTACATCATTTTTGATATCTGATCGGATTTTGGTAGGAGACAGGCATCAAGGCTTCAGGCTTGCGGTAGCGCACGTGGCGCCGTGTCCTGAAGGAGCGGAAGTGATAGACGAAACAGTGTATGTAGAAGGGACTGGGCTCGTGATAGTGTAGGGTAAAAGCTATAACTAGCGCGAGAGGGGGGATAAAATAAAAAATAAAAATAGATTTCACCTAGACTCGAACTAAGAACCACCAGTGTGTTAGAGTGGTGTGACAACCAACTACACCACAAAACCAAATACCGTAAGTTTGTGGTATGATAGCAGCTAGCCAAGGTCGATATCTATTCTTCCATCATACTCGTCTCATGCTCCCACAACAAGCTGCCGGACAATAAACCTCATTCCCGTACTGGGTCAAAAACTCCATATGAGGTACCCCTCCCGATCAGGAAGGCCTGCGCCTGCCGAGAATTCCTTGCTTCAAAGGTACTAACATCCTTCCAGCCATTCCGTTTGATTGGATACCGATCTCTGTCAAAAATCTTTAAACTACGAAACATGGATGAGAAGGACTCAAAGTTCGCCAGGACGACTGTATCAACGAGTATGTCATCACAGAGCTCCATGATGAAGAACTTCTTCTCAGCACCGCATTTATTAAGCAGGCAGCTATCCTTATTCTCCACAAAAATCGAAGCAGCCCCTGATTCCGTTTCAAGGCTCTAAATAACACCCATTCTACATTCCATCCCGTTTAAGCGAGACAGCAGCCATGATCTATCAAAAGGGTTTCAACCGCTACTGTGGCTTAACATAGAACCTCAGAGTGCGCCCGATTGCTGAGAATTTATGAACAAACATCAGTGCCAAATCACGTGGTTATATAAAATATTGCAGTTCCCTAGTTACACATCACCCGGCCGCCTACTCTTGGCTCAGGAGTGACCATTGCATTGAAACGGCTAAATAGCTCAAACTCCATTCTCTCACCAGCTTTTGGGCCTCTCATAATCTCACCCATCACGTCTGAGCCAGCCGGGAAATCATCCTCAAAAGTAGGCTCTCCAACACCCTTGATATTAACGAGGACTGCCTGGCGAAAGTGCCAGCGTAGGAGGTCATCAGGTGGCCGGAGTGGGTTATCGGCGAACGTCTGGTCAAGATGACGACCGGCGATGTGAAAGCGAGCGAGATCAGCTGTGAAGCACACGATCTTGTAGTTATCCTATACAATTATTAGCCACGAAGCCTTGAATATCTAGCCCTACATACATCAGGGTTAATTGACACATCATAGGAAGCAAAGAACTGGTGCATCGTGCTTGTGAGCATGATCCCATTCTGGACCGAGTTGATGGATCCGTGGGGCTCATTGGCGGGGGGAACGGTGATCAAACGGCTGAGGTTACAATCATTCCACTGCCTCTCGAATGCCAAAGGAAATATATGAGTCGCTTCGAACCCCCTCCACTTGCCGACATGAGCATACATCGCCTGCTTGCCTGTTATAATGCATCGCCGATCTCGCTGGAACACAGCATCGCGGAACGATGCAACACGAGTCCCAGAGGGCTACGACACCGCACAAATTAGCGGGAATTCTTGGGTGCACTGAAGGAACCTATTAACCACTGAGTAGCGGCCAATGATGGAAGCAATGAAGAAACCTACCATTAGTGACAACAAAGTAATTGCCTGGTCGAAGCTGTTGCCCATCTTTCCCAACCAACTGTTTGCGGTCGTCATATAGATGGAAAGTATCGGTAAAGGAACAGATAATCTCCAACATGGAATAGAGATTGGCGTTGGTAATACCTTCAGAGGCCCAGAGGCCTCCGAGCAGAGTATCACGACTGTCGGAAGCGTAGATGTGGGTATCACGCCACGCTAAGCGATCAGTGGGCGCCGTGGTTGGTAGACTATCTTCATCTGTCACGGACATGCTTTGGTGAAAAGGGAGGAAAGTTTGTGCTAGGTAGAAGGAATGGTTGCGATGGAGAGTTATGGGATAGGTTGCAAGGTGGTGACAAAAAAAGCAATCATACACAAACATCAGCTAGCGACCGGGTAATCTGTGATTATATAAGCACAAAAACCGTGATACAGTGGAACCTCCCATAATTCCAGCAGATTAGGAGTAGCCCGATGCTAGAAATAAAGGGAACATGGAATATAGAGGGGGGTCTTGGCACAGGAGACGGGGGCATGATACCAATTCGAGGAACGAGTGATTTCACACGACGACAAAGGAAAAAATCTATATCGTTTGAAACTCATGATAAGTATGATACTACTCCATAGCACTTTCAGCTGTAAGTACGACGGGGTACTTCTTCATATACCGGTAGTGGGCTCCACATTTTCGCCTTTCTCCCCACTCCAATTTTTCCCGGACAGGGTTTTTTCTGGAAATTAAGATCCTTGGAATATGCTGGAATCGGAAACTATAAGGGACTTGGAATTTTCAGAGGGAATCCCCATATCTCAAGCAGTGTAGTTCTCCAGGGTCTGGAGTTAGTAGAGGGTTGGAAGTTTGGGAGAGGGGAATTATCAGAGGCTCTACTGTAAACAGTTTAGGCCTCCACCCTGAACCTCTGCTTATTTCTGGTATCATATAATGAGTTGTGCTAATAAGGTTTCAAAAGCCAAAATTATTATGATACAATTGTTTTTTTTTGTTTAAGCTAACATGTTTATAATTGCACCAGTAGAGAACGCCGATCCAACCCCAATGCCGACTTGAGAGAATGAAGAGAAGAGCCCATGGTAGATAACACACAACTCCATGGAACACAACAAAAAAAGGAAAAAAAACACTAGCGGTCACCTAGTATTTCCGTACCCATTTCATTAGGTCATTAAACTGAGACGATTAGGCCCCCATCGCATCATCCGATGTTTGCGACTCAACATCTAACCCCAAGTCCATATTAGGCATATCTCTGCGCTCACTCCTCATTCTTTGTTCGGCCCATGCCCTCAGCCTAACTAAACGGCGAATCTTGGCTTCCTTTGGCACGCCTTGTACTTCGAGAATCGCTTCGTTGACTTTATCCGCCACTTGTCTTCGCAATGCTGGGTCCATCAGCTCTGCGAGGGGAGGAGCTAGATTTTCCATTGGGAAACATAGAAGCGCCATTGTGCGTTCAAGATCTTGCAAGTACTTTGAATTACCAGGCGCTCGAGGCGCTAGATGAGTGGTAGCAAATGCTAATGCTTCGGAGATGTCACCATCGGGAGATTGAGCGCAGTTTCGAATCAATTCGATAAGCTGGAGTCTTAAGAGTGAAAAATGCAGAGGAAGGTTCGTCTCGAGAAGCTACGTCAATTTGAAATGTTAGTAAGCCGCGAACACCATAAATGCGCGAATATCAGAACCGAAAAAAAACTCAACCAGATATGCTCATGTCGAAGACTGAAGTTTTGACTATAATTTTCATCACTAGCCGAAAGGCGCAGTGCGCTATCCTGAAAGTAATCATCGCAATATATATATACAAAGCAAGAACCGAAAAATTTAAAATTAAAGGGAAAAATTCCACTGACTTCGGGATGCAGCTCATTGATTCTTTCAATTACAGTCTGGATATCCCCGTGATGGATTGCATGGCGAATATCAACCCGTTCTTGGCTGGAATCAAGGTCAACCTGATGTGACATATTCGCTTCCTGAGCGAAGTTGACCGCAGCGGATTTATATCCCTCGATAATGAGATAATTCATGACCAGAGTGTTAAGGTCCCTACCATCCCAAAGATTAGCCACTCGATCCAGCTAAAATTCCATACCATAGATAAGGAGTAGTAGAGAATAAAATGCCAACAGCAAACAAGGGCATTATCAGAAATCAAGCTAACATATTCTCTAACATGGTAATTTCGGAGAGATTCCCAACTTGTACACATCGCATCATTTTGCCCAGTATTATGAGGGGAAGATGAAGGTTAAAAAAGTAGTGGGGAGAAGCCTGCCCAGGGCGTACGTTTTAGAAACTTTCACCTGGTCCACCTTCTTCTCCCAGTCCGCCCCAAGGGCATTGCGCGAGGAGGTAGTTGTTGGGTGACTCTAGATGTCAAAGATTCCAATAAGCAAATGCCCGTAGTTGGAAGGTTCTCGGAATTCGGAACGTACCATATTTGCTGGATAACAGACGGGGCACCCAACCGGGTGGGTGTTGAGGAGAAAGAAAGACGAAAGGAAGAGGGGTGGAGGGGAAGAGAGGGAAGAAAGAAAAGGATAAAATGGGAGGGTTGGGGTTAGGTTTAGTGTGCTGAGGTAAGACTAACGAACGAGAGAGGGCTCGGATTGAGGTTAGCGTGTTTGTGTAAAAAGGAGTACGAGTACAAGTACTCGCTGGCGGAGGGATGAGAGAAGAAGGGAAGGAAAGGAGATAGTCTTCACGATCTAATTGACTGTAAGGTGGAGGAGAGCGATGTGAATTGTGCCAAGAGCCTCCCTCATTGAGAACGCATCAAGCCCAACGTGCTGCAGGCTACATAGTTCAGCAGTACTAATATGGGTACAGTACAAAATGGTATAAATACAATCTCAAACGCTAGTTAGACTAAAAGATACATTCCACCATGCCAACTACCATTCCTACAATACCGATCATTTCGCATTCCAACCAGTGCAATACATTCAAGAAAACAATAATAGCCCAACCACGAGTACGATTGTCAGCATTGCAACGCATTTATAAGCAATTCTTTCAGGATGAAACGACAACCACGATATTTATGAAAAAATAATAAAATCGGTAGAAATTCATACCCGGTATATAGCAAAATCACCGTTTTTGCCATCACGGACTCCATACAAGTACATGCAACCTCGCTTCTCCAAAATCAAAAATAAACAAAAAAAAAAAGCCAAACAGTATCCAAAACTCACTCAAATACTCAGTTCCAGCTCTCATGTTTACACTCTATATTATTCAGTTTTCGATAAAGAAGCTCCAGAAGAACGCACAGCAGTGCTTAACCTTGCAAGTAACCGAAGTATCCATCACTCAACTGCCTACTATTCAACCAACTAAGAAGATTATCAGAATAAAGTAAAAATTAATAAGAAAGGCGAGCAAGAAGGAAATGGAAAAAATTATGTTTCCCCCTCACTAGTTACGGCAGTATATAATACAGAAAAATACAAATTACGGATGGAAAATAAACAATTGGAATGGCCGTCCACACCCAATCTTGCCGAGCTCACAAATGCCTTTATCATGATGTTTCTATCAACATTTGGATCTTCGCCAAATTGTCGTCGTCGGAATATTTCCTCCGCCACCTCATTCTGCACGTCTAAGGCAAAGCCCAGAAGAGCTCTATCTGATTCGGCTGGAAAAAAGCTCCCCGCACGGCACATGATGATAAGACGTGATGGGGCAGGGGATGAAAAGAAGAAAAAAACGCAATTATATGTATATTCAATGATGTAACGAAAAGGGAGTTCTAGCTCCATTCCCCCTTAAGCTTCATGCCAAAGTCGATTCCTTGTTGGTATACCTTTTGAGGAAATATCATGGTAAAAGAAGAGACCTCAAATCCTACGGCGATCGCAAGCATATTAGTTGCTGAAAAATATAATAGGAGATTAGAAGGAGATAATCACCCCTTCAGCCCCCTGATCCGCTCACCATCCCCCCCGTCCTTTCCGAGCTAGCTAGCTAGGCCCCCATCACAGTTGTAAGAATCGCCTGGCGAAAGTGCCAGCGTAGGAGTTTATCATGCGGCCGGAGCGGATTACCAGTGAACCTCCTGCCAAGAGGACGGCCCGCGATTTCATCGGTATCAAGCTCTGCCGTCAAACAGACAATCTTGTAATTGTCCTACCCAATTATTAACTACGAAACCTTGAACATCTAGCCATTCATACGTCCACATCTATAGTTACCTTATATGCATCAAAGTAACGATGCACGCCGCATTCAAGCAAGATGCCGGTCCGTACCGAGTTTATGTAATAGCCGTCAGGTTCTTCGATAAGGGGATCGGACAATTTATCGAACCCGAGTTCCTTCCATTTACCCTTGTAGGCAAGGGGGAAGATATGGCATGCGTCGTACCCTCTCCATCTGCCAGCATTCGCATACATCACCGGATCGTCTGATATAACGCATCGTCTATCTCGTCTCCGAACAGCGTCGCAAAATGACCCGTCCCGGGTTCCGGTTTCCAGTGACGGCCCGGCACGTAACAGCGGGACTTCATCAGTAATGATTATAGAACCTATCCACGGTAAATAAATGCTAATAATAGAAGCAATGAAGAAACCTACCATTAGTGACAACAAAATACTTGCCGGGTTTCAACTGTTGTTGATTCTTTTGCACCACTTCCTCGTCCCCGCTGTGTAGGCAGTACGTATCCGTCATCGAACAAAAAGTCTCCACAATAGAATAGAGATTAGCATTGGTGATGCCTTTTGCTGCCCATAGACCCCCAAGAACCTCACTACGCTTCTTGGAATCATATATAAACGCATTCCGGAATGTGGACCGGTCGGTAGGCGCCATGTTTGGTGGGGAAATAAAACGATTTTTCAAGATGACGTAGGAAGATGAGATGCGTGCACTAACACGGGCAGTGTACAGAATTGATGGGATGCGAGGGGGTGGCGGAGAGAAGCGAAGAACCTCGTTGGCTTTGGCAAACTTTTAGCATGCCGAGCTTTTTCCGGGAAACCATGACAGGTGTTCCAGTTGTATGAGGCATGTTCATAGCCGCAAGGCTGGTCCCCATGGCGGCAGCCTAGCTACTCAATTCTCCCGCTATCTTGTCATCCGGAAAAATCTTGCCGCCATCTCCCACCGTATCCTGATCGATGGCATATATGGCCATCAGAGTCTCGCAAGCTCCCAGAACCGTCCCGATTGTCCACTCCAGGGCATGCTGGGCCTCCCCACTCAAATCCGTAGCAACAAGATACTTTTGCACCGGCTTGCTGCCTTCCTCTGCCTCCTTGACTATCGACTCATATTCCCCACGCAGAATCGTCCTAACGACACGTCGAGTCTCCGGTGTAGAAGTGATAGGAGAGAAGAACTCCATTCGTTAAGCACGATGCAGATCGTGGGCGCCCGCTTCTGTATCCGAGGACATTGGCGTGTGGTTATGCCACGATAGGTCGAAATTTGTAGAATGAGGCACACCGATAGTCTATTTTTTGCAGGAGATTTGCTCCAGAGATGCTACCAGACGGGGTAACCGATACCGGAGGCAGGAGGGAGCGAACACCCTTCCTAGCACTCAGCCTTCCCTATCGGAGAAGTCAGAGCCAACCTTAGAATTTAGGTAGGAGTACATACGTTCTTTCGCCGCAGCAGTCAGTAAACTTATACTTGTCCTCCACATACTAATAGCCCCCTTCCTGGCGTCTATTCCACCTCATTTATTCCTTCTCTTACTTCCGCCCCCAGCGGAGTCGCCCACAATCCTGATCATAAATTGATCATACCTGCACCTTTCTCTACTGTCCTCTCAGTTCTCGCGGTGCTGCTTTTACTACTGGGGCCGGAACCATTTCTGAGCGCAGCGGCGCTCACTCTCCTCTCCTCTTCCTCACCCACAGGCGAATTTGATCCAACGCTTGCCTCGACATTACTAGTCTCGTCTTCATCGGAGGAATCAATCACTGCACGTTCATTGACACCACCCTAGTTCCTCTGCAATCTCACACACCCCGGTGCCAGCCCGGACATGCCCCCTCAATGGTGGTAATCGATCTGCGCTCCGGCAACATTCGCAAAACTCCCTCTGATCCCGCGAGTGCGCCATCTGAGGGCTTGGTATAGGCATGTTCTAAATCAAGTGGGACACCGGCATCGTTGCTTATTTGGTTGGAGATCTGGTTGTGAGCAACCGGGGGAGGAGAGGCCAGTCATCCAGATCTCTGCATGTGGCATGTGATGTGATGCGGTATTTGATATTGGTGAAAGCGACCGCCTCCCTGGAGGTTCGAGACTCCCATGATGCGAAGAGGGTAGGGCAGGGTCATTCCGAAGCACGAGTGGCTCGCTTCTGGGCGAGTGGGGAAACCGAAGAGAGAACAACAAATATTGTAGGCATCATTCGGGGCTAGGGTTAAAGACGTCACCTGATTTCGTGGGGTAGTTGGTTATTACATCAGTCCAACATACTAGTGGTCTGCGGTTCGAGCCCGGCCGAAATCATTCTCTTTTTCCAACATCCAACACTCGTTTTTTCCTTCTTCATTCACAACCCCATCGATTTCATTGGCTCCAATCGACTGCTCGTCAATTTATACGGCTGGGAAATCCTTTAACCAGATTAAGGAACAGCAAGAGAGAGTGAGATTGGTCATTAATATAGTTCATAGCATAATTTATTTTACACGAGTGAGAGCCTGTGGCTAGTGATCCTGTATTATGATGACGATGATACTTGACGTAGAGAAAAGAGAAAAATCTAAAATCCATTGATAACGCACCATTTTCCCAAGCTCGGACCTCCCACCACTCACCATCAGGCGGGTTTTCTATATATTACTGTATTTGGCCAACACAAGCCCGCTGTCGTCCACCCAACTGGAGCTGGCCCAGTGTCTTCACAATGCATGGCTTGGAATATAGGTGTTTGTCGAGTGATGCTTCGTGATCTCGATGAACGTAGTTATCAATGCAAGGAAGGGGTGGCGCTGGTAATAGATATTGTGCCCTCCCATAAGGCATCCAAATCCATGCTGAATGAACCCGATGAGTGAAGGACTATCTGTCAGCTTCCCAACTCTTTCCCCGGCCTCAAATGTTATCCTAGGCAGTATGAATTGTCCACTGTAATTTTTGTCAACATGCTCTAGGGCTTCGGGTACCAAGGTTCGGATCTTGTCTATATAGTGCAAATTGTCTCAAACCGGACCCTCTGAATAGGTCAAACACGATTCTGAATTAGTCAACCACAACACAGAATATTTATAAAAAAAAGCGCTGAGGGGAAGCTATTGGAAAGGAGAAGAGGCTAGCGCTTTTTTTTTTTTTAATTAAGAGTTGAAGAAAAATGTAATTCAGGATTAAAAAGTGAAAATTTTGGTGATAGTGATACAAGGGATAGAATATACATAGTACCATGCTGAAAAATACTGTGAAGTAGAGAGGACTAAAATATAATAGTACTTGATATTTGTCAAGTTATGCATCTAATACACAACGACCATTAACAACAATTCTGAATTCAATTAAGTCACGAGAAGTATGGCACGTATGAGCAGCAAGTGCAAGTGTATGTGAAC